AGTTTAATTCTATAGGAAGTAGCTGGGATTAAAAGAATGTTAAAAAAGGCGAATAGCATTTAGGCTGATTTTATCTATATAATTGAAATTCAATATATTTTCCTTAACAACGTATTGTGATTATTTGTTTGGAAAAACTCATAATATAATTTGTTTTGATTTTATATGGGTACATATAATAGTTTATATAATATATAATAGTTATTCTATCTAAAATATCTCTAATTTTAATTTATTTTATTGAGATAAAAATGTTTTATTTGAAAATAATCTGATTTGAATGTGTATTCAAATATTTTTTTCTTTTCAAATTTAATGTTTATAATTTTACAAGTATTTCTTGATGGAATATTAATATTTTTTAAATATTCTTGTACATTTAATCGTTAAATATTGTACAATATTTACTAGCATCATTATTTATATCAAAAAACTGATTATATCTCAGCCATTTTGCAAATATTTTGAATTTCGTCATACTTGCTTGGACTTCTTTATCAAAATGGAGAAGGTGTTGAAAAGGACTTTAAGAAAGCAAAATTTTATTACAAAGAATCCGATTGGAATATATAATTTAGGATGTCAAACAAGATCGAAAGAAAGTAGTTGAATTTTTTAAAAAAACAGCTGGACTTGGTAGTCATAATGCATTAAACAATTTAGGAGACTTCCTTGCAAATGGTGAAGGAGTCAAATTGTAAGAAAGCCGCGGAATTTGAAAAATCAGATGTAATGATGACTTTAGAAAACTGCTACACATATGGAAAAGGAGTAAAAAAAGATCATTCAAAAGCAGAACAATTATATATGAAAGCATTTGAGCTTGGAAATCAAAATGCTGTAGAATATTTAGCACAATAAATGCAAGTATAAATTATCTCTTCAAGAAAATAAATTAGCAGATGATAAGCACGAATTTAAATTATTAATTCATTTTATTGCAAGTATATCAGATAATTATTATCGAAAATCGAATTTTATTTGAATAATTAATTTCCAAGAAGACATAAAAAATAATTATTCAAATAAAGAAATTTTTAATATATTTAAAAACAACAAACAAATTCTTCTTTTTCTTTTTGAACAAAAGATTGTGGAATTTGATCAATCAATTCGTAATGCAATATCAACAGACGATTACTCCAAAAAATCCTATTTACAATATTTTTCACCAGAAATTGATTCCAATGCGCCATTACCAGAAAATTTTGAAAATGATAGAAAAAGAGGTGAAAATGAGCATTACATTTGTACATTAATTCAAAAAGATTCAATTGAGGACTTCATAACTTTTGTTAACAAAAATAATTATTTACTCAAATCAACAATTGAGCCATCAATATATGAAACAAACTCATTTTTATTAGAGAACGAAAGTCCAACTTTAATTGAATACTCAGTTTTCTATGGGTCTGTTCAAATATTCAAATATTTAATATTAAATGGAGTTGAATTAACTTCATCTTTGTGGCTTTTTGGAATTCATGGTCGAAATCCAGAAATCATTCATCTTCTTGAAGAAAACAAAATCCAGCCAGAAATAGAAATCGAAGTTAAAACAAAATCAAATTATAGCACATAGAAGAAAAAAACCGTTTCATATGAAGAATGTTATTTTAGATCAATCCAATTTCATCACAATGAAATGAAAGAATATATTGAAAATAATTATTTAACAAATAATGATTCTTATGCATATAAAGTGTTATTGCCGAGCATTAAAAACTATTATTTCGAGTTTTTTGAAGATGATTTGATTGATAATTTGGAACCAGCCTTCCACGAATTATGCAAATATGTCAATTTTTATATTATTAAAACAATCATCGAGAATATGGAAATCGACATAAATTCAATTAAAGATAATAAAGCAGCATTGATAATTGCAGTTGAAGATGAAAATATAGATTTAGTTCAACTTTTGCTAACGAATGAAAAGTAGTATATAAATCTTTCAACAGAACATTTATCAATAAATCAATATAGAAATAAATATTCCGAGAAAATTGCACCATTTTTTCTTGCTGTTGAAAAAGAAAATCTTGAAATTATTAAATTATTTTTAAAACATGAAAAAATTGATATAAATTGCCTAAATAAAGTGGTTTATCACAGTGAACAAGAGGGAGAAACAGAAGATGATGATAAAGAAGAATATAGTGAATGTGATGCACAAGAATGTAGCTATGATTTATATGAACCTATGAATAATTCAGAAGAATATAGAGATCCTTCAATAACAACTATAAAAAGGAAATAATGATATTATTCAACTTTTGCTAGAAAATGAAAAAATTGATTCAAATATTGTAAACAAAATAGAAACCAAAACAGAAGAATATTATGAAAAATACAACAGATATAAACGTGGAAATACTATCGGATGGTCTGTTAGTACAACTAAAAAAGAAGAAAAAACTGCATTTTATCTTGCAGTTGAAAAAGGAAATCTTGAATTATTTAACAATTTTAATATCAACTTTTTCATTTGATAGCATTTTTTTGATTAATTCGAGAATGAATTTCACCCTTGAACTAGATCTAGTTCATCATCAAATTCAATTCTTGGTCAAACAATTGAATGATTTAAAATGCTTCGAATGTTGATATCAATTCCTTCTTGACTTATTAATAGTTCAACAATTTCTTTATGGGCTTCAGATGCATCTCAAATCAACGCATTATTATTAAATGTTAAAGTTGAATTCCATAAATCATTCAATTTTTTAATTTTATGAAAAAAGATAGAATCAATGAAAAATATAATTCTCATTTTATCATTTTAGAAGTTTCTAATTATTTAGGAGTTGAACTTGTCCATAAAAACTTAGGTTTTCTTCTTTGACATTTTCGAGCTCTTTTGATATATCTTGTTTTCCTTCAAATTTCCCATTTTTTCTGTCTTCTTTAAGAGCTTGAATTTAATCGTTAACTTAAGTTTTGTTAACTTCACTTAAAAGCTTCTCAAAAATTGACTCCAACATTGTGAAATCAACATCTTCGTATTTTCAGGGACATCATCAATAAATTCAAGCCTTCCTACTTTTGAAATTTTTGAAATAAATGTACTGAAAGTTAACCGTTTTCTTTTTTCTTAGTGATCTTAATCTGAAATAGCTCAGGAATTATATAAAGTGATGTGACAATTCTTATTGCCATTGAAATTTGGATTGAATTCATAAGATATTTGGCAAATATATGAGTAAAAGTTTGAATCAATAAGAATGTTTTAATGTTTAATATCACAATAAAAAAAAAAGTTCTTTCTTAAAAATCATTTATTTACTGATATCTAACTAAAGATCCAAAAAATTCTAGATTTGATAAAATTAAAATGAAATTATCAGCATCATTGATACCTGCAATTCTAATTCTAAGTAATTTATAATATTCATCAGGATTTTGTTCTTTTATTTCAAAAGTATATGTGGCATTAGCATAAGTAAGATAATTGACACTATTTTGACTATCTAAAACTTTCCAATTTTCATGAAAATTATTACTTCCCTCAATTATCCAACTTTTTAAATGATAATTCTTTGGACCGGCTGAATAGGTTCTAATTGTATAATGAGTTGGCCTAATTTTCATATCCTTAAAATTTATTTGAAGCCAGGAATTAGTTTCGTTAGCGGACATAAAATAATTACCTGTATTATTGTTTGGCAAATCAGCAACATATTTTGGAAATTGTGAACCATGAACTGATGAAGATGTAATACTAACAATTCCTTCATCATGAACATTTCCACCACATTCACCAGAAAGATGATAAATTATTCCAAATAATGAATTATTTCCATTATAATTAAAATCAAGATGAATAAGATGCTTTTTAGTTTGTTCTGTTATTTGATTTATTGAATCCATTAATTGTTTTATTGTTTCTTGTTGATTTTGAATGATTGTCAACAATTCATTTTGCTTTACTTTAACATCATTCAGTTCTTTTTGAAGAACATCAAATATTTTTATTTGCTGAATTTTAATAGTTTCTTCTTCTTTAATTTGTCCATTTTGATGCTCATATAATTCAATTGTGAAAAAATGGAAATCAAAAACATTTGAATATTTTAATAATAGTAAATTCATGCACTCATTTTTTAAGTTTCCAAGATCAACAACAGAAAATAAAACTGATGCTCCTCTTCCATATTTATCAAGACAAGCAAATAAAAAATCCTTTAATTTATTTAGATCATCAATTTTTTTTGATGAATTACTTAATATTCTATGAATCGAAGAAATTGGAAGCTCTAATAACTGCTTATTATCTATATAAACTGATAAATTTTTTATTATCTCTTGTTCGAATTGAATGTTATTAAAATCATTTTGCTCTGAATAAAATAAATATTTTTGAAAACTTAACTCATTTTCATGCATTGAAATATAGTTTTGTGTATATTCATGCACTTTGTTTACTTCGTATCTATTGCTTAAATAATCTATTGCAACCACATTTTCATTGTTTATTGGTTTCTTTATATTATGGCAAATAAGAATAAAATCTTTAATTGCATCTTCTGATATATTAATGATATTATCATTTTCTTTTCCAACCAAATATATGTCCTTTGTTTGTTGGATCAGATTTATCGTTCTTTTATATAATTCTGATACGATTGAGAATGCACTAAGATTAAAAGAATACTTCTTTTTTCGATAAATAAAATAATGTGTGCTTTCTAATAGGCCAATATCAAGTTCACATACATCAAAATCATTCATAAAAAATATTTTTGTATTTTGTTTTTTCAGATGAAAAATTTGTCTTATTTTTATTTCAAATTGTGGTTTTTTTTTTAAAAAAGACAAATTTTGATTAATAATACATCTAATTTTAACAAATATATTACATATTTACATCTAATTTTTACATAATTAAATTTGTAAATAGGTACCTATTTTTAACAATATAATCATTATTATTAAGATAAAAAGTTTTAAGAAACACTACAAATATATTTTTTATCATTTAATTTATGATAAAACAAGTGTCCGACGTAGTTCAATGGTTAAAACATTTGGCTCACACCCAAGAGAACGGAGTTCGATTCTCCGCGTTGGAATTTTTTGACTTTATTTTCTTTTTTGCATAATTTTATTTTGTCGGTAAGAAAATAAACATCACATCTTTATCGTAACATTTTTAATATATTTCAAAAATACAATTTTCATGTAAAATTTTTGTGTTAAATTCAGAAAAGAAAAATATTATGATCTTGGATATATATCTACATATCTCAAAAGTTTATTAATATGTCCTGTTGAATTATGATTTTTTTACATTTGGAGTTGTAAATTTAGATGAAAATGAATAATCTTTAATGAGTGAAAGTCAAAGATAATCTTTAATGAGTGAAAGTCAAACCATACATTTAACATTCAAGAAATTAAGGATTTTTTTTCTTTTTTTGAAATAATCCTTTTTTATTATATGAAAAGCATATTTTTTATATAATTGCGCCATTTTTTTTCTAAGTGTTAGAGAAATTCTTGTGGTTTTCTATAAAATATTAAAATGGGCATAATTTGTTGAAAATTGTAATCAAAATAAGAAAATGTGACATTTTTCGATAATGGGCATGTTTTTTTTAAACACTTTTTGAATATTAGATTTTAATAGATCTCATATAATTATTTCAAAAAGAATTCAAATTTATAATTTTTTAAATAAATATCATTTTAAAGATGGTGTTTGGTTCATTTTGCTATAGAAAATGTTCTCTTTTAGAAACAATAAAGACGAAGTCAATCCGAATAACAGGAATACAAAAAGGGTTTGTTCAGAGTTTAGAAATATATCAATCCATTGAAACTTGTGATGAGCTTAAAGAAGTTTCTTATGTTTTTCCAACAGATAATAAAATATGTATTTATGACATGCATTTTTTAGTTGGTGATGAAATAATCCCTGCCCAATTAAGAAGTAAAACTCAAGCACAAAAAATTTTTGATGAAGCAAAAAAAGAAGGAAAAACAGCGGTGATGGGTATACAGAATGAACCTGGAATTACATATATAGCCATTGGAAATGTTCCCAAAAACACAATTGTTGCAATAATATTCAAATGCTCATTTACATCAATTCTTGAAAATAGGAATACAATATTAACCAAAATACCTCTCAAATCGTATAATTCTGATGGATTTTTAACGAATTTTTATGATTTACCTTCATTTGACATTAATCTTGAAATGACAATTTCTCAAATAGGAAAAATTTCGGATGTTTATTCCAATATTGATTATGAATATTCTAAAAATGATGATTATAATGGAAAATTAACAATTAAATCAACAAAAATTAAAGATGAGAATATCATGATTCATACAAGATTTGAAGATCCTATTAAAAGTCAAATTGTACAAACAGAAAAGGCATCAATTATTTCAATGATACCAGAATTTGAAACAATTAAAAGTGACAATAAAGAATTGGTCTTTTTAATCGATTGTCCCGGTTCAATGCACGGCGAATCAATTCGAAAGGCCAAAGAAACATTATCAATGTTTATATCTAAACTTTCACAACAAATATATTTCAATATTATATGTTTTGGTACATTGTATACCAAATTATTTGATCAATCACAAATAAATAGCAAAGAAAATAATGAAAAAGCAATTGAATTTATTGAAAAAATTGAAGCCAATTTAGGTGGAACAGAACTTCTAAAATTATTAACTGATTTATTTCATACTGATGTCAAAATATCATGGCAACGTCAAATATTTTTAGTTACTGATGGCGAAGTTGAAAAACGAGAAGAAGTTGTGAATTTGATAAAAGAAAACAATGTTTATAATAGAATTTTTGCAATCGGACTTGGAAATGGATCTGATGCTGGATTTCTAGAAGAAATAACCGAAATAACAAATGGAAAATATGATTTAATACTCAATGAAAAAGAACTTCCTAATAAAATCAATGAACATTTTGAACTATCCAAAACTGATCCAGCAATAAACACTGAATTGCATATTGAAGGAAATGATTCTTTTCAAGTCGTTCCTTATCCACTTCCAACACTTCTTCCATACGTTTTACAGCACATTTTTATCACTTCATCATTGCTAATAGATAATGTAATTATAACATCTAAGCTTAGTAATTCTATTGATATAGAGAATGTTATAACTAACAAATCACAATTAAATGAAAAACTGCCAATTTTTGCTCTTTTTGCTCAACAACAATTAAAAAAAATTGAATCTGATGAAGAAAAATCAATCAAACTTTCTTTGGAAAGTGGTGTTCTTTCCAAATTCACTTCTTATGTAGCTGTTTCAAATAACTTTTATATTGAAAATGAAGATATGGAAATTTTCGAAGATTATCAAGAGGTTCACTATGCATATCAATTGGTTGACGATTATAATTCTGAAATTCTAACTTTAGAAAAATTAAGAAGAATAGCTGCTGAATTAGGTGAGGAAATTGATGACGATGAACTTCAAGAAATGTTGGATGCGGTTAAAGGCGATAAGGATAATTCGATTGAAATAACTAATAAAAATGATGCAAATGACAATGATGAAGAAAATCATGTATTTTGGGATGAAAATTCATCTTTTGAAGATATTTTAAGACTTCAAAATTGCGAAGGTTTTTGGGATTTGTCTTCATCTTTCATAAATTCCAAAACGATTGGACAATTATTGATAAATGAAATTGATTTATCACAAATTACAACAGTGGTTAGAAAAAGGATTTTGTCAGTGATTTTTGTCATTTGTTATCTTGAAAAGTTCTACAATGATGATAAAAGCAAATGGATTCAAGCTAGAGAAAAAAGCATAAAATGGCTGTCCGAAATAAATGGCAACGCAAATTGGGAAGAAATAATTACTATTAATAGTGAAAATATTTTACAATGATTAGTTTTAAGCATTTTTTTTTAAAATTGCTAATATAATCTTTTATATTTTTATTTATTTTTAAAATCATTTATATATCCAAGAAATGCATATGTGAGTTTAATCAGATGTTCATTTATATATCCAAGAAATGCATATGTGAGTTTTTTTTAAAATTGCTAATATAATCTTTTATATTTTTATTTATTTTTAAAATCATTTATATATCCAAGAAATGCATATGTGAGTTTAATCAGATGTTCAATTGGTTGATTTTGTTTTCGATTTAGAGGCAAATGTAGAAAATGATGAATGGAGCTTGTTTAGTTGATTCTGAATTTTTTTATGTTATAGAAAACAAAATGAACAATTTAATAATACTTAAAAAGATTAAAATTTTCAAATAAAGATATATTTTATAAATTAAAATTCAATTTATGATCTTTCTAGTTAATTGTTTCTAGTTTCAGTTTCAGACAATTTTTAGTTTTTTAAAAAAGTTACGAATTGTAGGGAGAGGATTGTATTTGTTTGGAAACAGAATCGCTGGTAGTGTAATGGTATCATGTAGGATTGTCGTTCCTGTGACCCGGGTCCGATTCCCGGCCAGCGAGTTTTTTTAATAATAAATTTTTAAAACAAAAAAACGTTAATGAACTTTTTAAATGATTCTCCTTTTGAATGAAAAGTTCTTTGCATTTATTGAAAAAGTTTATTTTGACATAATTCAAATACAAGATGGATGACTCTTTTTTATTAAGCCTAACATATATTTTCGAAGAACATGATTTAATTGATGTCATTCGCCAATTATACATTGATTTTGAAAATGATCCTAACGAGGAGAGAATAAAAGTTTTTATTACATATTTACCAAAATATCTTGGTAATGATTTACCAGCAAATGTGCTATCAGAATTTATATCAACAATTTCAGTTTGCATTAAAAATTTGCCACAAGTTTTTATTCCATTGATGGATAATTTTTATAACAAACCAAAATTAAATTCAAATTACAGTATTATATTTGCATATATACTCTCAGATTTAGTTGAAATGAAAATATTGCCAAACATTCAAGATTACAATTCTTTTATTTCCTCAGCTTTAAAAGAGATTTCACCACAATTACAAAATGAATCTCAATTAATTATTTTGGGCCATGAAATTCCTATTCAATTCAAAAATGACTTAATCATCAATCTTTTATTATGCACAGATTTAACAGAACAGCTAATTTATGACTTTTTCCCTTTTCTTTTTAATAAATTTTTATTCAAAAATTTTTCAAAATTTGATTGCCTTATTCAAAAAGTTTTAAATTCAGACGCAATCAAAATTTTGCCACAAACGAGCGAATCAAAAGATGAACTTTATGAATTTCTTCTAAATAAAGATTTCGATCTTATTTCAAAGATGAATAAAGAATCTTTTTCTATCGTCAAAAGCGCGATTTTGTATTCAAAAAGTGGATGCAAAATTGAAAGCATTGGTCTTTCAAAAGAAACGGTTTTGCCATTTGTTGCTTGCATTTCTATTCTCACCCAAAAATATGGTACAAATGCCACTTTTTCAGAAGCAAAAATGGCAAGTTTGATTTATAAAGGAATTCAACTTTTTCAAAGCAACGGTTCACCTCTGATCACTATTTCAATTGATTTGATTTTAGAGAATTTGTATCAACTTTGGGTGCTAAAAAACATCTCGACAGACGATATGTTCAAAATTCTAAACATTTTGAGTCAGCAACTACTGAATGGTCAATATTTGGCCAAGAAAACTGTTATCGTCAATACCATATTTGAGTTATCAAACAAAATTGACTGCTCAGCACTAAGGGGGCCAATAAAGGCCTTCTTTAACCAATATGGCGAGAAAATTGCTCTTTTTATTCTCCAAAATTCATCTGAGTTTTTCGAATGCAAAGAATTGACGAAAAATGTTTTAAATTTGCTTGTCTTTGACGCAACACAAAGCCCATTGTTTTGTAAGAATGTCATTCTCAAATCAGAAGATATTTGTAAAACGATATACTTCTTTGAAAACATGTGCTCCAGTGACAGCATTCCACAGATTTTCCACATCAAAGAAATAGAGTCATATCTAGCATCTAAATTTAATGAAAAATATGAAGCAAAAAGCTGGAATGACGCTGTATGCATTGCCAATTTCATGAAAAACAAAAAGTTTGTGGAAAAATATAAAAATA